CTACCACAGAGAGAGAGAGAGAGAGAGAGAGAGAGAGAGAGAGAGAGAATGAATGGCAAAATTGACATATGGGTCAAATTGCAGTCGTGATCTATTTCGCAGTTGGAATGATTTTTAAATTTTATTTAGCATTTTTCCTGGAAAGATCACAACAAAATTTACGAGTACGCCAATTTTCAGTTTTTTTCACGCATTCTCTTGAGAATGAAAACTCACTAAATTTTGAGTACTTTTTCAGTTGGCCAACACATGGCTGAGTGGCAAAAATGTAAAATGTGTCGAATCGACGCGACGATTATTTCTCGGTCTAAATTATTTACTTTTAATATTCTAATATTTTTCCTAGAAACAATTTTCAAAATTTCAGATTTTTGTGCAGGTTGCTCCGAGCACAGAAAATAGTCAAAGGTGCCTCTTGCAAAACACCTGTTTCGTTGCGCCTGACCTCCCTGTTTTGAGAAGACAGGCCTCAACGCTTAGGCCTGAGGGGCCTTTTGCAGTTCGCATAGCCTCAGTTCGTTTAGGGGTCCGCTTCCACCCGTGGACCCGTCCAACGCCCCCCACTTGTTTTTGGGGTCCGCTTACATGTTAAAATTAATTGTGACATGATAAATTATAGAAAAATTTTAAATAAATCAATCCAATATAATACATGGTGAAATTACGTTTAAAACGTTATGGTAAAAAACAACGTATGAATTGATACTCATTAACTGGTAAAAAAATCCCTATTATGATTGTATTTCTAAATAAAATATTATATTATTGAATAAATCGAATATAATAAAAAAAACTCAGCATCTTTTCTTGAAGAAATGACAAGAGAATTTGAAGCCTGAAAAAATGAATCTATGGCTAATCTAAAATTGACAATATAGATAAGATACCGATCCCCCAATTTTTTTTGCCCCCTAAGAACCCACTTTGCGTCTTGGTCGTCCGCCGACCAAAATGCGACACCTTGACACAGATGTCGAACCCCAGTAGACCGCAACCTTAGGGCTGCGAATTCACCAAATTTCTTGGACAAATGTGAAAACGTCTACTGAGCATGCGTCGACACCAAAATTTAAAGTTTTTCGTGGTGCACAGGTCGTCCGTGGTCCAGACGGGCGGACACCGCCGACTCCAGTAGGGGACGGAACCCCAACAGCGTTGTGTCGTTACCATTGGCGAGTAAAGGCATGGGGGTGGTTCATGTGGCGGGTTTGTCCTTGTGCACGTCGTCGGGTGTGGTATCCAACAGTCGACTTTTTCAATTCTTTTACTGCCAACATGTGAGCAATGTCGGCCGACTGCAGTTCTCCTTGGCAACGTGCATTGTCGGGCATTGATAGGCGCACGGGAGCAAGCTTTGATCGATGCACTCCTCGACTGCTGTGGTTCATGGCAGACGCGCTTCGACGGGTCCCGCTGTCGGGTGCGGTGGTCCCACACCCAGACGCAAAGTAATTTTTTGTGTTGAACCTCACGGTCGCATCACGCATGAGTTTAAAAGTGTTTTAGCTAAGACCAACTTCGACCGTGCGCGCCAGCTATACCTCTCGCGGCTCCCTGCGACAGGACAGAGACCCCGCGAGGTACAACTCACCTCCACCTGTGGGAGTTGTCACCATCCCTTAAATGGGCGTATCCCTGCTGAGCTACTGACCCACGTGCGAAGGCTTTTACATGCAATCGCAGAGGTAAGTCAGCCGAGGGCGTTTGTTCGATCGCCGTAGCATAGGCATACGCGTGGTTGAACGCCTAAGACTGACCCGTATACGCGTCGGGCATCGGGGCGCTGATCTCCCGAACCGACTTACAAATCAGGTCGACTCGACTGACGAACGTTCGCGCATACTACGCTTTGCCTATAAATAGTTTCTTTAGGTATGACTTACAACTTAGCTCTTTTCTGAAGCACGATCCCCTCTCAGTACTTCAATTATCCGGGGTTACGCATAAGACACATACCCATCCTACCTAGTGATTAAGTCCATTCGACAGATCTCTCTGTGAAAGCTCTTTAGCCATATCATACATACATGTGAGATGAAATATGACAAAGTAATTAGGCAAGGAGATGTCACATACACATAACACACTCACATAAACAGTCCAAATTCATCAAGGAAAAAACATAGGTTTTTAACCTTTCAGACATGTACAAATGAAATGAACATGAAATGAATAAGGCTCGTAGCCTTAGCAATAATCTTAATCTTCTTAACAATCGGGGAAAAGGCGCAAGGCTAGGTACTCAAACCAATCGCGCACTGATGAAACATCTGGATCAAGGTTCCAGATAGCGTAAGTTTCTCAATGGGTTGCCGTGAATAGCATGTGGCTGGTCGTTTTACTGACCTACAAACAAAACCAAATGCATTACACAATTCTAACAAAGTCAACCATTTATTCACTTTCACCCACATTACACTTACACTTTCAACCTTTCAGTAAGACGTCCCCCTTTTCGACTTAGTCATTCAGCCATATCTGTCTTCAGTCATTTCAAGGACCCCTTTTTGACAAAACACAAACCTTTTAGACAATGACCCGAAATCAGAAATGCCTTTTAGTGCAAAGGTTGATGCAAAGTGTGGGTGTCGAGGGTGAGTGAGGGTTGAGTTGACGAACCAACATGTTACCATAAAACAACAATATATAGTCCTGTATAGACTTATAATGAGTCTCCTTGATCAGGATGACCTGCAATCACACACAGGTCAACACGGTCTCAACACCTCTTTGCCATCGACATGACCCTATCTGAAGTTCAATATAGTGAACTTCATTTTAGCCGGAATAATAGTACATCGATATAACTCCCTATAGGCAGCCTCTCTAACCTCCTATCAGATTAGCTTCTAGGGATAATCGTATAAAGGGAGAGAAGCATAGAGCTAACATCGCCAAAACTTTCCCCTTCAGACATACATAGACAAAATATCATTAATCTTATATGGAGTAGAATCATAAGATCGACATCAATCAATAGGTTAAGGTAGCAGGACATATCATACTAGGTCACATCCCTTCTACCTTCACCTCAGTAGAATCAGGAAGTGGTCTGTTAATAATGGATCGATCTCTTTTCAGGGCTTTCGTTATTTTCTGTGTATCGAGAAGCTTAGTAACAGTATAGTAGACCACTCGGGATCTACACATCTTCACTGAACGTCTGCTTGTGATAGGGTAGACCTCAAGGGTCTTGCTCTTCCTATTCACTGTCCTTCATTAGATCAAGGTCAGGAGGTAATAAGACAGGCTTCTCGGAGCCTCGCTCACTCTTATCATTATGGTCATAAGGCATGCTTCTCGGAGCCTCGCTCACTCTTAACGCCTAGTTCTTATCATTA